CAGGGGAAGGCAGGACCAGGCCGGCGCCGCCCGCGGAGAGGCCGGGGGCGGCAGTGACCCTGGGCGGGACAGCGTGGGACCATGGCCGAGGCGGCGCCCACCCCGGTAAGGGCTGCCCTCAGGGAGGGTGGACCGACCCCCGCCGGACCCCTCCTGAAGTCGGGGAGTCCCAGCCTGGGTGCAGGGGTGAGGGCAAGGACGCGCCAGGCTGACAGGGCCCCGGGGGAGCTGCAGAGGTCAACGGTGAAGTCCCCTCCCCTTTCTTGGCCACGGCGTGCGCCTTGGAGACGCGACGGCGCTCCTGGGGGCCCCTCAGCCTGACTCCTGGCGGGCCGTCCCCGGGGTAGGAGGTGTGGAGGAGGGATGGGGAAGGCCCTCAGTCCAGGCACTCAGGGCGCCCCTTCCTGGCTCCCCCCATTTCAGGAAGACCATCACATTGTCGCCCCCTTCCCCGCTATTGTCCAGCTTATTTTCTCTCCAGCGGTGGCTCGGGCTTCCACCCGTGGAGCCTTGGAGCCTTCGTGGGCCTGCTGTGAGCCCCAGGGCTCTGTTAGACCCAGCTCAGAGCCCCGTGGGGATAGACTCAGGGGCCTGCTGGCCCTTTCCCGAACCCCCCGGGAAGCCTGCTGCTGGGAAGGGCCTGCCTTGCAGAGGACAGGGGGTCAGCCGTGTTTCATGCCAAGGCCTGACTTCATCCACCCTTGGCCAGAACTGTGCAGATAAGGGCTTTCTCCTGAAGTGGCGGGACCGCCGCCCAGCACAGGTAGCTTTGAGATGGCTTTAAAAACGTTCAGAGGCCAAATTTGAGACAAGGTATTGCAGAGATAAGATGTTGGTCCCTCCCCCAGGTCTGGGTTCAAGATTCTTTCCATGAGTGTCTGCACACTCACTGTGCGGTTTGGGGTCTGACCAGCCAGCGAGCCCTTCTGCTACCTGGAAGAAGTTTTTCTGTTCCAGAGGACCTGCCCTTCCTGTGGTGGGAGTCACTGTGGGGCCTCCCCGGGTGGCTGAATTGCCTCCTATGTCTGGTGGCAGGAATGGCTTTTGGGGACGGATCTGCAACGGGAGGCCCAGGTCCAGTCTGCAGAGATCTCTCTTCTGGCCATCTTGGCTGCCGTTCAGGCCGTGGAGAAGAAGATGGAGGCCCAGGCCGCGCGGCTGCTGACCCTGGAGGGGCGGACGGGCTCGGCCGAGAAGAAGCTGGCCGACTGCGAGAAGACGGCCGTGGAGTTCGGGAACCAGCTGGAGGGCAAGTGGGCCGTGCTGGGGACGCTGCTGCAGGAGTACGGGCTGCTGCAGCGCCGGCTGGAGAACATGGAGAACCTGCTGAGGAACAGGAACTTCTGGATCCTGCGGCTGCCCCCCGGCAGCAAGGGGGAGACCCCCAGGGTAGATCGGGGCACGGGGCTGGGGCGGGGACGCGCCTGGCGGTGCGGGGGTGAGCTCGCCTGACGCTTGTGGTTCCAGGTGCCCGTGACCTTCGATGACGTGGCCGTGTATTTCTCGGAGCAGGAGTGGGGGAGCCTGGACGAGTGGCAGAAGGAGCTGTACAAGCACGTGATGCGCGGCAACTACGAGACGCTGGTCTCCCTGGGTGAGGCGCGGGGCGCCTCCTGCCGCCACTCCTTGGCGTTGGCTCTGCTCCCGCGGGCGCCTCTGCAGGGGCGGGGGCAGGGCCGGCGGCAGGTGCCGTTCCTGACGCAGCGCTCCGTGCCCCTCTGCTCCAGATTATGCCATCTGCAAGCCGGATATCCTTGCCCGCATGGAGAGGGGAGAGCAGCCTTGTCCCGAAGGCCCGTGGGGCCAGGAGGGGAGCGAGAGAGAGGCAGGAGGCCCCCAGGGGCCGGACCCTGGTGAGTGGGGCGCCCTGCGGAACGGCGGGCAGACTGCACCCCGAGGCCAGCCCTGGGGGCTTGTCTTGGAGAAACCCGACAGGGTTTCTGACCATGGGGTCCGGCCTCACCTTGCCCTGGTCAGGGGGAGCTGGACTGTGCCAGGAAGCGGGGCTTCTGCTCACAGCACTGTAGCGAAGCAGCACTGATACCATGCCCTTGGCTCCCCCCACCTCTGCTCCCCGACTTTAACCTGGCAGCGGGGTCAGGCTCCTGTGTGCCTGCGTCTCTGTGGAAATGGGCACCCCAGAGGAGAGGCAGTGTAGGGGTTCCAGAGTCTGCTGCATGGCAGACTTCTGTGCTGAGTGAACAGTGAGAGAAGTGCAGTGAACCCCTCAGATGATTACCCCACTCGGCAGATGATCACCGCCTGCTCTGGTCGCCTTTGCTTCCTCCCTGTCCTCTCCTCTCCTCAGCAGGAGCGCAGTGCGGGGTCCCCCCGGGGGTCGCCGTCTAACACCTGGGCGCAGCTCTGGCTCCCGACAGCCTCGAAAATGTTTCCAGGTTGCCTGGACCCTAACTTAATAAGCCATGCTCAGATTTTGCTTGGATATGGAGCTGTGGCCCCTCGCCACCGCCTGGTGTCTTCATTCGCGGTGGCCCGAGGAGAGACCCAGGCCCGCCTTGGGCGGCCGTGGCCCCCGGTCGCCGCCTCCACACAGCTGCTGAAAGCCCCTCTCGCCCGTCGGCGCACGCCCCCACCCCCTCTCCCTCAGGGCCTGTGTCCTTTCTTGATTCTTTTATGTGTGGAAAGAACAGGCCTGTTGCAAGGGGAGGGAAGTGCAGAGCAGGGCAGAGACGCAGGGGGGAAGGCCGGCCTCCGTTGCACCCCGCTGGGGTGTTGGGCGTGGCCCCGCAGTTCCGAGGAGCCCTCCTGGGCTGTAGCCTGCTGCGGGGTGCACAGGCCCCTGCCCAGTGGTGTCAGGCCGGGTCTGGTCCCCGACCCGTGACGCCAGCACCCCCTTCCCGTAGCAGGCGGCTCCCACAGACGCCCGGCTGGCGCCTCGTCTCGGGAGGGGCCGCAGGAAGGGTGACGCGC